TTATTTAATTGAAAGCATGTCTACGTTTCCGTACATTATTTTTGTTATCTTTGAGGAGGTTGAGTTCGTCACTACCTATCAGTCCAAAGGTGGGACTTGTTACTTACTGAGTTGGTGTACTCACGTTACCCCCTGCACCTTGTCTGCAGATTCAGGCACTTTGGATCCAATGGCGGTGGTTGATCGAGGCTTCTGACTTAGGAGATTATTGAGGTATTTGCACGACGTTCGCAGGCCTTGGCTATCCACCTTACTTTCCAGTTGTATTTCAGTTGCCCCCTTAGACATTATAATAGACTATGTATTTTTCCTTAGACGCTCACGCACTCAGTGACACCCCGATTCCAGCTCAGCCATTAAGTTGCCACGTAGACTTGATCAATGGTCAGGAGGGTTTAAAATACGGACTTCGATAACTATAAGTGTCTGAATGAAACATAGTTGAGTACAGGGACCAGGGTGACAAACACGAACAAGTACAAGTGTTTACCAAGCCATTCTGCCTATTTTCAATAACCAATTCAGATTCATGCCAAGTGATCGATCACAGAAGCAATTCATCTTATAAGGAGATTGGAGAAGCAGTATAGGGAGAGGAAAAGGGACTTGCATATGGTGTTTAACGAACTGGGGAAAGCATACGACAAAGTACTTAGAAAGGTTCTATTGTGGTGTTTAGAGGCTAGAGAAGTGTCTGTAGCTTACACTAGGGTGATTAAGTACATGTATGATGGAGCTAAAACCCGGTAAGGATGGTGGGAGGAGACTCGAGACGCTTTCAGTCGTGGTGGGGCTGCACCAAGGGTCGGCTCTTAGCCCGCCCTTATTCGCCTTGGTGATGGACGAATTGACGTGGCACATTCAAGGAAAGGTGCTATAGTGCATCTTATATACAGATGACACAACACTGACTGATGAGATGGAAGGCGGAGTTAACGCTAGGCTGGAGGTGTGGAGACAGACCCTGAAGTCTAAAGGTTTCAAGTTGAGCAGGACAAAAATCGACTACTTGGAGTGCAGGTTCAGTGATGTGACCCATGAGGCAGACAAGGAAGTAAGACTTAATTCACAAGTCATCCCCAAGCAAGAGAGTTTCAAGCACCTTAGGTCAGTTTTCTAAGACAATAAGGAGATTGACGAGGATGTCGCATATCGTATTGGAGCGGGGTGGATGAGATAGTCTTGCATTTGGTGTCTTGTGTGATAAGAATGTATCATTGAGACTTAAAGATAAGTTTTACAAAATAGTGATTAGACCAACTATGTTGTATGGAGCGGAGCGTTGGCCAGTCAAAAAATTCTCATTCCCAGAAGATAAAAGGTAGCAGAAATGACGATACTAAGATGGTTGTGTGGGCATACTAGGAGAGATAAGGCTAGGAGAAGATATTTCGGACAGGTGGGAGTGACCTCCGTGGAGGAAAAGAGGTTAGAAGTGAGGCTGAGATGGCTCGGGCATGTGAAGAGGACAAGCGCAGATGCCCTAGTGAGGAGATGTGAAAGGTTGAATATGGTGGATCTAAGGAGAGGTAGAGGACAGCCGAAGAAGAACTGGGGGAGGTGATTAGGCAGGACATGGCACATCTTTAGCGTACCGAGGATATGACCCTTGATAGGAGGTTGTGGAGGTCGAGAATTAGGATAGAAGGTTAGTAGGCTGTAGAGCGTACACCCTTTCCATACTAGTAGTTTTAATGTTTTCTTTGTTTGGTCTTATTCCTACTGCCTGATGTTGTTTCTGCGTTGTTGCTACCCTTTTGTTGTACTACTTCTTTTCATGAATCTTTCACTACTATATTTCCATTCTTAAAACTTTGTTTTGCGTACCATGAGTCGAGGATCTATTAGAAATAGTCTATACCTGCTTCAGGTATAGCAAGAACGTGAGCAAGTTGTGCAAGATCATGAGCGAGTTGTCAAGTGCCGCACGTGCGCTTAGTTTAAGACTAAGAACATGACAATGTGGTATCTAAGCAAAGGTGGCGACTAAGGGAATGGCGAATGACTGAGAAATCAACGTTGCTAACACCCAAGCCAATGTCACTCGGAATGTCGTTGGCATGAAGGGCCATAACAAAAAGGAAAATGCCTCCAACAAGAGCCTGGAGGTACCGCCAGAGGCCTATGGAGGCATTGAGGAGCAGGTTGATGTTGGCATGAGCGAGGTGGCCAGCAATGTTATTGAGATTAGGGAGGCCAAAATCGAGGATCCCAAGCCACCAGTGTTCAAAGGTGTACGCGATGCTCAAGAAGTGGAGAACTTCCTTTGGCGCTAGGGAAACTACTTTAAGCATGGCAAAGTGAGAGACGATAAGACCAAGATCAACATTGTTGTCTGGTACCTCTCAGAGATTGCCATGCTGTGATGGAGAAGAAAGATGGCTGGCGTGGAGAAAAGTCTATGCGCCATTAGCATGTAGGATTAGTTCAAGGCCGAGTTCAAGCGTCAATTCTTCCCAAATAATGTCTTGTACAAGGCACGATGCAAGCTTAGGGAGCTGAAGCAAATAGGGAGTATACGTGACTATGATAAGGAGTTCACCCACCTTAATGCTTCAAATTTCCAATCTCACCAGTGATGACTTGTGTTTCACTTCATGGATGGGTCGACTTCTTGCCATCGAACTTGTTGGCACCTTGAGTCTTGGGGTGTTCTTGTTGTGTCTTCTTGCTTTTTCCACGGTCTCCCCCACCTTTGACATTGCTACCCCTTGACTCTTTGCCTTTGCCTTTGTCGTACTTGTCATGCCTGAAATCCATTGAAGACTCGGCCTCCACTATGGCTAGATCTATATCTGCAGCTTGTCGGCGTTGCAGCACCTGCTTAGCCCAATTTTGTCAGGGCTATGCCGAGAGAAAGGTGCAAAGTAGAGAAAAAGGCGCAGTTAGAGGAAGACCGAGGCATAGAAAAGGCTCAGCGTTCGAGTGACTACCAGAGAACGAGCGCAAGGAAGAGCTCCCAGATGGGTTGGTGACTCCTCACTGAACCTCGTTAGAGCCCTTTTGAGATGAAGGAAAAGAATGATAAGATATGTCATCAAGAAGATAGCCAACAAAGGAAAGACTCCCCCCAGCTATGTAGCTAGTTGAGTATACTAGACATGCTATAGGTGTTCTGGTACCTTACAAAAATTCCTAAAGCTGAAATAATTCGAGTTTACTGGAGCATCTATACAGAGGATCCGCAATTGTTCTTAGATAAGGTTAAAAAGATACTGAGGATGCTTGGGTGTACAGGTGACAGAGCTGTTGAGTTAGCCGCCTACAGACCGAAGACACAGTTGATAGCTAGTGGGTGTCTTCAGAGACGGAGAGGATCACCACTATTGACTTGGGAGCAGTTTGAGGATGTTTTTCATGGCTAGATTTCTTCTGGATAGCCAACGAGATGCATTGCGAAGGATCTTTGAATTGCTAAACTGGAGTTTTATCAGTTGCTATGAACAACTCCAACCTGACTGTATTTGACAAGGTGAAGTGGCTCGCAAAAGGGACAAACAAATATTCGTATCAAAGTGTTATCTCCCCTCACCACAGGGAGGATAAATCTTATGTTTAGATTGTAAGAGAATGAAGCTCAAGGAGGCAAAGTTCTTGGCACCACATGACGTAAGAAGGCCAAAGCTTTAGGGTCGTTTGGTGGAGTTCCCGTCGTTGCAAAAAGTATAAGGAGCCAAGGACTAAGAAAGCCCCGTAATCTATTGTTTTTAGTGCGCTAAGAGCCCAGCCCAGCCCAGACAAGTCAGACTGGACTAATTCAGTTCTCTCAACAACCCCCACCATGTTGTTCATAAAAAAATCACATCCAGGACGCGTCATCAAGAAGATAGCCAACAAAGGAAAGACTCACCCAGCTATGTAGCTAGTTGAGTATACTAGACATGCTATAGGTGTTCTGGGTACCTTACAAAAATTCCTAAAGCTGAAATAACTCGAGTTTACTGGAGCATCTATACAGAGGATCCGTAATTGTTCTTAGATAAGGTTAAAAGGATACTGAGGATGCTTGGGTGTACAGGTGACAGAGCTGTTGAGTTAACCGCCTACAGACCGAAGACACAGTTGGTAGCTAGTGGGAGTCTTCGGAGACGGAGAGGATCACCATTGTTGACTTGGGAGCAGTTTGAGGATGCTTTTATGGCCAGATTTATTCTGGATAGCCGACGAGACACAGTTTATCAGTTGCTATGAACAACTCCAACCTGACTGTATTTGACAAGGTGAAGTGGCTCGCAAAAGGGACAAACAAATATTCGTATCAAAGTGTTAGCTCCCCTCACCCATGGGGAGGATAAATCTTATGTTTAGATTGTACATTTGTTGAAGAGAATGAAGCACAAGGAGGCAAAGTTCTTGGCACCACATGACGTAAGAAGGCCAAAGCTTTAGGGTCTTAGCTACTTGTGTCCTCATGATGCTTAAGCTCTGTTTGACCCTAGTTCTATTCATTCTTAATATCATCATATTTTACAACGAAGAATTAAGTAAAATTCAGAACTGTTGACCGATCATATTCCTAGTTGCCACATGAGTAGGAGAATCCTTGACAATGTATCATGGTTATCGTTCCTGTGTAGCCAGGGCTGAGGGAAGGGACACTTTGGTCGACTTAATAGTATTTAGTATAGTTGACTGTGATGTTATCATGGGAGTGCATTGGTTAGCCTCGTGCCATGCTATCTTCAACTTGAAAACAGTGAGATTTGAGATACTGAACGACCCTAGCTTTGAGTTGAAAGGTGACTCCATTATGCCTTCGACCGAATATCTCTTTCGGGAACACTAAGAAACTAATGAGTGAAGGATGATATGTATCCTTGGCCACTTTCAGCGACACGAGGACCAATGTACCTAGTTTAAAGATAGTTACTGGAAATAGATTGAATTTTGTATCAACTTGGCACCAAGTACACAACTACTATGGTGTGGATAATATAAACTTACAAAGTGTATGCTTTGGGTCGTGCCAAATATTTACATACAGAGCAAAAAAAATATACCTGATAATAGCGGATGACACTTGGATGCCGAAGAGCTGCCAAAATTTTCACCTCTCTGAGAAGAAACAAATATTTTCAGTATAAAATCATATAAAATAAAGTTATCTTATGCTAAATAAATAATATTAACTTAATAAATAATATTACCTTAGATATTCTGCACGTTCTTGATCAGGAGAAGGTATCTTTTTCACAGCATACGTTGACTCGTCTAACTTATGCTTGCATTCATAAACTCGTCCGAATCCACCTTTCCCTACAAATCAAATGACAAAAAGAGATCAATGGAAAGACAACTTCCATGTACAAATCACAAAGAGTTATCCTCTCTTTTTTAGAAGAGGAGTTTGGGGCATTCTACAAATCTTCCTATTCATCTTGAGACGAAATGACAATTTGAAAACTAAATATAATATCAGGTCAATCCAAGTTGTTATTATTTAAAACACTTGTTGCCTGAGTCATTTCAGAATAAAAATCCATCTTCTAAATGTGAAGTTCAATAATTAGTTAAACATCATCGTTTTTTCCCTTCTACGAATATAGAATCAAACCATTAGGCTATCAAAAATGTTACGTAAAAAGTGGTTTAAAAGTTTCATTGGTGATCGTAACTGCTAGGTATATCAAACAATATAAATCAGCAATGATGGAGATTTTCCGGATATGTTAGATTGGTTGAGACACAACTTCAGGAAAGAACTAGAGTGTTATGAGTGGTAATGGTAAAGAGTACTTTAATGAAATCTTAGGCGATTTCTTTTCAGAAAAAGGAATGATGCATCAAAGTTCATGTCCTGATACCCACCAACAAAATGGGTAGCTAAAAGGAAAAGTAAACATCTCTTAGCAGTTACAAGGGTATTACACCATTCACTAATAATGTTCCTAAGTATCTCGGGAGAGAGGCACTCATGACTATCACATCTTTAACAAATAAGATGCCTACCAAGATTCTCTCACTCTGGGTTTTAGGACACCTCTTAAGTGTTATTCAAGATACCTTCCTAATCTGTAAATTGACAAGTGACAACCAATTTAGCTTTAAGAGTATTTGAATGTAGTGTTTTCACTCATGTAAATAATCGTGAGAAATTAGATCCTTGAGCTAAGAAATGTGTGTTTGTAGGTTATGCCCCCAACTCAAAGAGGGTACAAGTGTTATAGCCCGAGCTCTAAGAAAATATTTGTTAAAATGGATCTTGCTTTCTTTGAGTCAATGATTTTTGGTTCTCCTTTCTGGGGGAAAAGATGGGAGAAAATTCAAACTCCTTTGATTATAATTAGATTTTCTACCACTGATAACAAATGAACCAAATACCTTGATAAAAATAGAGTCAGGTGATACAGAATCAAGTGATTTAACTAGTAAAAATTTGGATTCTAAGCCTACAAAACCAACCCATGACATTTGTAGAGGTAAAAGTGGTGATCAAACAAGTACAAAAGAACTGAATGTCTACTCAAGGAGAAACACCCCAGATTTTTCATACTTGTACTGAGCCTTCAGGTGATCTCCATATAGTATTCACTCACATAGATCTTCCTAACTTCCAGTCTATTCACTCTGAGCCTAACATCTGAGCTTGTCCCGTTGCATTACAAAAAAGTACCAAGAGTTGTGCCAAATACCCTATGTCTAATTTTGTGTTATCAATATCTTCTGCATTTACCTCACAGCTATCTAGTATGGAGATAGCAACGAGTGTGCGGGATGCTTTAAAGGTTCCCAAATGGAAGGAGGTTGTTGTTGAGGAAATAGTAATAGTCATAGTCATAGTCATAGTCATAGTCATAGTCACAGTCACAGTCACAGTCACAGTCACAGTAACAGTCGCAGTCACAGTCACAGTCACAGTCACAGTCACAGTCACAGTCACAGTAATAGTAATAATAATAATAATAAAAGGTTTTCTACTTTTTGGTATACTTCTTGTATGTGGGCATGTCTCACCCTTTTTTAATGGAAGTATTACCTTATCAAAAATAATAATAATAATAATAATAATAATAATAATAATAATAATAATAATAATGATATAAAAGAGGATTTGGGAGGTCATAGAGTTGCCAAAGGAGAAGAGAGTTGGCTGCAAATTGTGTTCACAAAACTGCATAGTTTCTAGAGAGATACAAAGCGCCCCTAGCCGCTAAAGGGTATAGCCAGACGTATCAATTGACTATCTAGAGACATTTGCACTAGTGGCAAAACTGAATATGGTACTCTTAACTTTTATCCAGTGTTCTCAAAAACGAAAAGAGCAAAAAAGCGCCCAGGCCCAGAGGGCTTGAACCAAAAAGCGAGAAGTGAAGGGGCACAATTTATAAAAAATTCAACAAATATCAAACATATATGAATTTCGCACTACAACAATCGAATTATAATTAAAATGACTAATCTCAACATCCAATATGCAATAATGCCGACACTAGTCCAACTTTCCAAAGTTGAGATTCAAAGAGCCAACTGCTTCTCATTGAGATCATTTAATGCATTACTGTTTAAGCGCACACTTCCACTAAAGCACATGGCTTCATCCATGAAGCGACAACCTCCTGTTTCACATAGTTTTGGCTGTTAATGACACTGCTCTTACCATTTTGCAGTCAATCTACACGTCACCTGACAACTAGATGAAGACCTTTATATAGATCCACCTCCAGGCTTTGAAGTAAAGTTGGCTTTAAGGTTTATGGATTAAGAAAGTCTCTATATGGCCTAAAACAGTCACAAAGAGCTTGGTTCAACAGATTTTACTCGGTTTGTAAAGAAGCAAGAGTCCAAGGGTATCCAAGGACAAGTAGACCACACCATGTTCACAAAATATTTAAAAGGGAAGAGCATTGTATTTCTTAAAAGAAAGGAAGAGCATTTTACCTAGTCGCCGGATCTCCTGAAAATCTTCGGTATATCGAGTCTGCATGCTACATATTTATATTTCAAAAATCAAATAAAAATATTTTAAACATATGGACACTGTCACAAGAATACTCAGAGAAAAGACAAATTTGTAAAGAGAAGCCCAAAGCCAAAACTCAGAGCAAAAAACAATATAACATTTTGGAAGCAACATAAATAATTATCTATAAAATCTACAAAATACTAAATAGGTAAATTTGGCCAGTTAGGCTCTTTTTTTAAACACCAAATCAAACCGAATAGTATTAATTCTTAAAAACTTTAATCCCGGACTTAACCAAACAAAAAAGAGTGGATTGTCACACCCTTCATTTACCCCAGAATTCCTCATAGCCAATTAGGCCAAGTTGCAAAAAATCAACTTAATTTCGAAAAGCGCTTCTTATCAAAAGTGCTTTAAAAAGGTGCTTTGGAAGAGTAGTAGTTTGTATTTAGTTAGATCATTTGAAAAGTGCTTTTGTTTGTTATTCGTGTTATGCCAATATTTCCAAAGAGTGCTTTTCAGTGTCAAATTACAAAAAAATGTACATAAGTTGTTACCTATTTATCAATTAGCAAGGCGGCTTACAAAATTGGTTAAACACTTACTTTGGTTAATAAATTAGTGTTAAATTTAATAATATCTATGCATCATGTTAGAATAGTCATGTAAATAGGAACCCTAATCCAGTATGTATTAGGAGTAGGACGTCTTGTATGTGTATATATAAGGCTCATTGTAGCATTGTCAATTAATCAATAATATATTTTCTCCCGTGCTTTCTCACATGGTATCAGAGCAATCGTGAGATATTTATCGCTGTGCATAAATTCCAACAACTCCGGGAAGAAAAAAAAAGCCCTTTTCCGGCAGAACAGTACTGTTCGAGTAAAAGTCACGTTCCGTCAGTGTTGTGCAAAAAACCAACACCACCACGAAGTAGATCGGCCTCCGGCGACCAACCCTCTAAAATATCTCCGACAGAAAAGCTACCACGCGCCCACACGCGCCGGCAGAAGAAATTTTCCGGCGAGCGCGTGACACCCACGCGCTGGCGCGTGAGCCCTCTTCCGGCCATTTTTTGGCCGAGCTTATTCAGGATAGCCTGATCGCGTTGAAATTCCGAGCCTATCCATCTAGTTCAAATCAAATTCCGACCACTTTGAATTTTTCCGGCGAGCTACAATGACAGTGATTCCAGCAATTTTCTGCATTTTCCGCGACGTCTTGACAATCGAGCAGAGTCACCTTTTACTTTAGTCCATTCAGATGTTTGGGGTCCTAGTCGGGTTAGTTCTACCTTAGGATTCCGCTACTTTGTCAGTTTCATTAATGATTATTCCAGGTGCACTTCGATATTTTTGATGAAAAAATCGATCTGAGTTGTTTTCTATTTTCCAGACCTTCCATGCTGAAATTCAAAATCAATTGGGGGTTTCTATCCGCACATTTCGTAGTGATAATGCCCTAGAGTATTTGTCTTCCCCATTTCAGCAGTTTATGAACTCCCATGGGATTATTCATCAAACATCTTGTCCGTACACATCCCAACAAAATGGGGTAGCTGAAAGAAAGAATAGACATCTTATTGAAACTGCTCGTACCCTACTCATACAATCTCATGTTCCGCTGCGTTTTTGGGGGGATGCAGTTCTTACATCTTGTTATCTTATTAATCGTATGCCATCTACAGCTATCCAAAATCAAGTTCCATTCTCTGTCCTGTTTCCCCACTTACCTTTGTTCTCTCTTCCACCCCGTGTCTTTGGGAGTACGTGTTTTGTTCATGACCTTAAGTTAGCTCCCCGTGCTCTTAAGTGCATATGTCTGGGTTACTCGAGAACGCAAAAGGGATATCGATGTTATTCTCCTGACCTTCATCGATTTCTTATGTCTGCTGATGTTACCTTCTTTGAAACCCAATCATACTTCACATGTCCAGTTAATCACTTAGATATTTCTGAGGTGCTACCTGTTCCTTCTTTTGGGGATTCAGTCCTTATCTCCCATTCATCTTCTTCCATAGCTCCACCGCCTACAGTTCCAGTTCCAGTGCCACCACCTATAGCTCCAGTATCACCACCGAGTCCAGTGCCACCACCTAGTCCAGTTCCACCAACTCTAGCTCCAGTGCCACCACCTAGTCCAGTTCCACCAACTCTAGCTCCAGTGCCACCATCTAGTCGAGTTCAACCTTCTACAGCTCCACCACTCCTGACCTATCATCATCGTCCGCCCCCAGCATCAGGCCCAGCTGATTCACGTCCTGCACCTGACCCTGCTAATACTGCGGACTTGTCTCCTCTTAATCAACCGATTGCACTACGAAAAGGTATATGGTCCACAGTTAATCCTAATCCTCATTATATCGATTTAAGTTACCATCGTCTCTCATCATCCCATTGTGCATTTGTGTCATCTTTGTCCTCTGTTTCCATTCCTAAGTCTACAGGTGAAGCACTGTCTTATCCCGGATGGCGACAGGCTATGATTGACGAGATGTCTGCTTTACATACGAGTGGTACTTGGGAGCTTGTTCCTCTTCCTTCAGGTAAATCGACTGTTGGTTGTCGTTGGGTGTATGCAGTCAAAGTTGGTCCAGATGGCCAGGTTGATCGACTTAAGGCTCGTCTTGTTGCCAAAGGATATACTCAGATATTTGGACTTGATTACAGTGATACTTTCTCTCCCGTGGCTAAAATTGCATCAGTACGCCTTTTTCTATTCATGGCTGCTGTTCACCATTGGCCTCTCTATCAGTTGGACATTAAGAATGCTTTTCTTCACGGTGACCTTGAGGATGAGGTTTATATGGAGCAACCACCTGGTTTTGTTGCTCAGGGGGAGTCTAGTGGCCTTATATGTCGGTTGTGGCGATCCCTCTATGGTCTAAAACAGTCTCCTCGAGCCTGGTTTGGTAAGTTCAGCACAGTTATTCAGGAGTTTGGCATGACTCGTAGTGAAGCTGATCACTCTGTATTTTATCGACATACTGCTTCAAATCTCTGTATTTATCTGGTCGTTTATGTTGACGATATTGTTATTACCGGCAATGATCAGGATGGTATTAGTAAGTTGAAGCAACATCTCTTTCAGCACTTTCAGACTAAGGATCTGGGCAGATTAAAGTATTGTCTGGGTATTGAGGTCGCTCAGTCTAGCTCAGGTATTGTGATCTCACAACGGAAGTATGCCTTAGATATTCTTGAGGAGACGGGGATGACAGGTTGTAGACCTGTTGACACTCCGATGGATACGAATTCTAAACTTCTGCCAGGACAGGGGGAGCCTCTTAGCGATCCTGCAAGATATAGGCGTTGGTTGGTAAATTGAATTACCTCACAGTGACTAGACCTGACATTTCCTTTCCTGTGAGTGTTGTGAGTCAGTTTATGGATTCTCCCTGTGATAGTCATTGGGATGCAGTTGTCCGCATTCTTCGGTATATAAAATCAGCTCCAGGCAAAGGCTTATTGTTTGAAGATGGAGGCCATGAGCAAATCATTGGGTACTCAGATGCTGATTGGGCAGGATCACCTTCTGATAGACGTTCTACGTTTGGATTGTGTAGTAGGAGGAAATTTGGTGTCTTGGAAGAGCAAGAAACAGAATGTGGTTGCTCGGTCTAGGCAGAAACAGAATATCGAGCAATGGCTATGGCCACATATGAGCTAATTTGGATCAAACAGTTGCTCAAGGAGTTGAAATTTGGTGAGATTAGTCAGATGGGACTTGTGTGTGATAATCAAGTTGCTCTTCATATTGCGTCAAATCCAGTGTTCCATGAGAGAACTAAACACATTGAGATTGATTGTCACTTTGTTAGAGAAAAGATACTCTCGGGAGATATTGCTACAAAGTTTGTGAAGTCAAATGATCAGCTTGCAGATATTTTCACCAAGTCCCTCACTGGTCCTCGTATTAACTACATATGTAACAAGCTCGGTACATATGATTTATATGCACCAGCTCGAGGGGGAGTGTTAGAATAGTCATGTAAATAGGAACCCTAATCCAATATGTATTAGGAGTAGGACGTGTTGTATGTGTATATATATGGCTCATTGTAGCATTGTCAATTAATCAATAATATATTTTCTCCCGTGCTTTCTCACAGATCATTTAAAGATAACACTAATTACAGGAGATAATGAGCCTGCATATTGTGATTTGTAATTTCAAATTTAACTTAAGAACTCTTAAATTTTAACTTTTTAATGGAATATGCCTACCATAAAGTAAAGAAGTAAATCTAAACCAAAATGAACATAAAAATTAAAAATCGGATTGAAGAATATTATTGATACTCTTAAAATAATGATGTCAAATATAATAGAGCAAAATGTGCGGTAAATACTTTAATTGGAAAAAATAAAACAAAACAACCTTCTAACTTCTTTTTTTGAATCAAATCCTACTTAAAATAACTCACATTATCATATATCTATACTATATTAAAAACCTTTAGCAAAATGTCGTTTATCTTTTTTACCCGTTAAAAATANGCTAGACCAGTTGGGTCACCAGCTTTGACTTGGGGTCAGTTTTCTCAGCTATTTCTAGAGAAGTTTCTTCCTATCACTCAGAGAGAGATCTATCGGAGGCAGTTTGAGCGTCTCCAGCAGGGTTCTATGACTGTTACTCAGTACGAGACCAGATTTATTAACTTGGCCCGTCATGCTCTTCTTATACTTCCCACTGAGAGAGAGAGAGAGAGAGAGAGAGAGAGAGAGAGTGAGGAGGTTCTAGTTGGACGGGTACTCTATTCACGCCTTAGTTCGTACTTCAGAGTCGGACCGAAGGAGGACGGNAAAATAATGTATTAAAATACAAATACTAAAAACACTATAATTGGATATAATTTATCTCAATATTTACAATTATTATAACCATTAACTCAACATCAAGTTCTAGAGATACTTACAAAATGACACTAGACAATTACGTGTCAATTATACGTATAATATTTATATAATTTTTAAATTTTTATACTTACTGATAAGGGTTACACGCGCAAA